GTGTGTGTGTGTGTGTGTGTGTGTGTGTGTGTGTGTACATGCATCTGAGTATTTGTGTACAGGTTAATAGTTAGTTGGTCTTCCTCAAATTCCTCTCCACATTTTTTTTCAAGACATTTTTTCTCAATACATATCCCTGGCTGCTCAGGAACTAGCTATGTAGAGCAAGCTGGTTTGGACACTTGAACTCAGAGATCTGAGATCCACTTGCCTCTGCCTCCCCAGCACTGAGATTAAAGGACTTCGCTCCCGTGTCTGGCCTTCTGCCTTCTCTTTTGTGGGCTGCTCCACCTCTTTTGTCGTTCATTTTCTATCATGAGACAAGATCTCTCCAGACTCTGGAGCTTATCAGTAGACAAGCTGCCCAGTGAGCTCCAGGGATCCGCCCAGTGAGCTCCAGGGATCCGCCCAGTGAGCTCCAGGGATCCGCCTGTCCCCGCCTCTCTCTCCCCCACTGCTGAGGTTACAGAGGCGGGCGTGCAGCGATGCCTGGCGTTTTATGTGGGTGCTGGGATCTGAACTGAAGTCCTTTCCATTGGACCCGTCTCTCAGCCTCCACATCTTAACACTACTGCAGGGGGAGAGCAGCTTTCAAACCTCTGCAGCAATCCACATTCTCCTGCAGGACCCTTTTAAAGAAATTCTCTTTAATATAAATATTAACAGGGAATTAACCCAGCGGCTGCATTTCTTTACCTTGTAGACGCCAATAAGTACACAGAGAAAGCGAGATTTCTTTAAAACTGCACCTCTGTAAGCAGTGTTAAAGACTGTAAGCAGTTAAACAATCTACCTTACCTCCTATGCTGATCTGGCTACCTCCCAGCCCCAGCCCACGATACTTGCATATTATTATTGAACTGGCCCCTGGGCTTCAGGTGTGTTTTCATGATCTCTCTCTGTACTTGTTTCTCATGACTTCAAATCCTCCATCTTCCTCACTGATGTAACTCTCTGTCTCTCTCTGTCTCTCTGTCTCTCTGTCTGTCTCTGTCTCTGTCTCTGTCTCTTTCTCTCTCCTTCTTCTGGCTGGCAGATATCATGCCCTCTTCTCTAATCTGCCCAGCCACTGGGTGATCGCATGTATTGATGAGGCAGAGACTACATGATAAGAACTGTTTACACAAACTAGGGACGAAAGATTCTTGGTATAAGCAACACAATGCTGTGCCCTCCCCCAGCCTTGAGCAGGCCGGAAAGACCTGTTTACCACAATAGACCAAATAATAGGACCTAGGAGGAGTTATCCATCTTGGCTGCACGTACAACCTGCTACAGGAACTTAGAAGAATAAACTGCCCACTTGCCTCAAGATGTCTCCAGCTGTGACTAAGGATGGGTTCCCTCACCCATCTCCTGCTGAAACCAGAAGGGGTTCGGTGTGGCCTTCCCTTTAAATTAGAAGAGCTGAGTATTAAACT